CATGAGCAATTTGGTGATGATCCGTGCATTTTCCAGCGTGATGGAGCACCATGTCACAAAGCAAGAGTGATAAAGAAGTGGCTCAAAGATCATTACATTGAAATTTTGGATCTGTGGCCAGGCAACTCCCCGGATCTCAGTCCCACAGAGAACCTGTTGTCAGTCCTCAAAAGGCGAGTGAACAAGCAGAAGCCCACAAATTGTGATAAACTCTGAGAACTAATAAGGCAAGAATGGATCGTCATCAGTCAGGATTTGGCCCAGAAGCTAATATCCAGCATGCCAGAGGGAATTGCAGAGGTTATGAAGAACAAGGGTCAACACTGTAAATATTGACCCATATTTTTTTTTGCCAATAAAAGCCCTTAAAACTTATGATATGCTTATCATTGTTTTTCAGTATACCATAGAAACATGTGGAAAAATAATCTACAAATACTGAAGCAGCAAACTTTGCAAAACACAAAATGTATATCACTGCCAAACTTTTGGCCATGATGACTGTATTACAAGCATGTGTGGTAATACCTATGAATGTAGAATTACGTCAATAAGATTTGCACACGCAGGGTAAGAGTTGTGGAAGTGTACATAAGACTGTAAGCGTAAATTACATTTGCATGCGCAACAGAAGCTTTGTAAAGGTGTAAATCGCGTTTCAAGTAAGAAAAAATGATTTGCAGCATTTTACTGTTACTCGTAAGCGTAATTTATGTATTGTGAAACTGCAGCTTTATGCTAACGCAAAATAAATATGATCTGCATGATTCTGACTTCCATTTTTCCGCGCTTACACTTTTGCCACGTTTTTTTTCGCCAAAAGACGGTCAAAAGCACTGCAAGCCTGTGAACAGTGATTTGCAAGCGAAAACAACAGTTTAAAGAACTGCAAAACAGATTGACTGCATAGAACCAATCTGTATGTGTAAAAAACAAACTGTTGCAAATGTCTTAATGACTTGTTGTGTCCTTACCGATCGATCGACTGACTTGTAGTATTGAAATCATGTTGTGCTGTATAGAGTCCACTAGATGGCGATATCTGCCGTTGGCAAACCAAGATCGCTCTTCACTGACAAAATGCAAATTATTAAACGTTTCTCTGTTATTAAGCTTGTTGTGGAAAACGGTATGTAGTGGAGAATGTCTGCGTTATGTGAGTACAATTAAAACTAAAGTATAGGCTAATTACATTGTCCAATAGGCCTGTGATTGATTTGTGAACGTGTCAAAATGTGACGTGAAGGTATGAGTTCTATTTCTACCACTTTCTTTGTAACTTACAAACCGCACAATAAATTAACCTCGAATATGTTATACTGTTATGTAGACACTGTAACGAATGTCTAATTGTGAATTTTACTTCAGACTAGTAACGTAGGCCTACCTGAGCAACCCCAGACAGGATGGAAAGAGCGGTTGTAGGCAATAAAGGTAACGCTTCACTTGTAAAACACTGAGCTAATTTCAGTGACATATCTAATGGTGCACTCTGTATTTTTTTATACACTAAGAAGTTTTACACATAAAGAAACGAATAATACCATTGCACACTTGCGTGAGATAAAGACATCTCACATCAGTGGCCTCGACAATAATATTGACTTGCCATGTTAGCTACTACTCGCTTTACTCATAATACCACCTGTTATTTGACACCTTTTTGGAACAAATCGCATTATAGTTGACTGCAAATACCTCTTTGATGGAATTGGTAACTGAAAACGTTTGCTTTTGTGAGAAACGACATACTCACTGTTAGATGTCTCGATTAGTCAAAATACAACTTCTATATCAGCCAACACAACATAGATCATGCACAATATAGAAATATATAAGACCAGAAGAAAACTGTCTGTTAGCATTCCCATTCATCAATGCCAGCTGTAATCTGCCAACTTTGCTAATGCATGTTTTTTTTATTTTCATCCATGAAACCACAGGAATATCAACACTGATGGGTCCAATTCATGCTTTTCAAAACACTGCCAAAAATTAGTAACGGGGAAATATCTATCATTATACTATGTGTTTATGAATTCTATGTTGAGTTGTATGTTAGATCAACCCCAAACATCTTAAAACATCCAAAACCAACCTAATTACCAGATTTCCACCAAATATGTGATGTATTTTGTATATGCATCATATAAGAGGTTTTTACCAAATACAGTATGTGATGTAAACAAATCATAGACTGTCACTGTAATTACAAAGTTTTCCCCTTTTCCCAAAGGCAATCAGTAGATAATTTTGATTAGCGGAAGAGAAATCAAGCAGATGAAGGATAATGTACAGCCTAGTGTCATGACAAGCATAAATAAATGACTGATCTGTCACATGACTCAGCCATCATTCTCAGAGGCAAATGCTTGCGCCTGCATTTCACTTCAGATGGGCTCTGAATTATAATGCACTGGCTCCTGTTTACATGACTGTTATTCCGCAATCTCACATTTCGCACAGTATTGTAACATAAACAAGCAAAAATAAATAGCACACTGTATCCCACATGTTCACTAGTAACACACAATAATTTGCCATTACTGTATGAATAACAATACAAGAGAAGAACAGCATGTAAGCTCTGGGAAGCATCTGGATGGTTCCATAGGGTTTTCCTTGACATAAAGTGACTGGTACATATCTCGATGGAATAAACGAGTGACAATCTCTCTCTCTCTCTTTGTCATATACACACATTGTCTTTCTACCATACTCTGCAGGTCAAAATGGACCGAATGAATGCATAGACAACAATGCACAAGCCCTTTCTCGTGGAAAACCAGTCTGGTGAGAGAGAGTGAGATTTTACATGCAGTTTTTATGAGGTAAGCTTTTATGGCTCTAAACCCTATTCATTCTTAGCAATCAGAGGGGAACCTGCCTTCAATTAGAACCAGAAAATGAACCCAACTGAATGCATCACACTAAAGTAAACTAGAAACCAACCACAGAAGGTGGTACGAGAGGCAAATATACAGTAATTAATCAAACAAAAGAGTTTTTTTTCATTGCCAACTATCTGCAAAACCAGTCTTTGTGGAAAGAAACACTAAATTTGTGAATTTGTGCACTGATTGTTTCACCTACATCCTGCAGATCTGCACAAAGAAGACGACAATAATAACAACAGATGCGCGGTAAACAGTTGGCAGTATCTCTGCAGTTTTTATGAGGTAAGCTTTTATGGCTCTAAACCCTATTCATTCTTAGCAATCAGAGGGGAACCTGCCTTCAATTAGAACCAGAAAATGAACCCAACTGAAGTAAACTAGAAACCAACCACAGAAGGTGGTACGAGAGGCAAATATACAGTAATTAATCAAACAAAAGAGTTTTTTTTCATTGCCAACTATCTGCAAAACCAGTCTTTGTGGAAAGAAACACTAAATTTGTGAATTTGTGCACTGATTGTTTCACCTACATCCTGCAGATCTGCACAAAGAAGACGACAATAATAACAACAGATGCGCGGTAAACAGTTGGCAGTATCTCTGCTGAGAAAAATGGGAGACTGTGAGTGAGAAAGAGAGAGACGGAGGGAGAAAAATCGAGCTGCTGCAGTATCCCTACACTGCTGAGGCTCGGACTGCGTGACTGACTGGTGTGTTGCTAGAGAGAGAGAGAGAGAGAGAGAAGAAGGGAGGGGGATGGGAAGGATCTTGCCTGGATGAGGAGCAAGCAGGCAGGCAGGCAGCAGCATCATCTCTTTTGTGGCGTGCTGCTGAGGGAACTGGCCGCCTAGAGCCGTGCAGGGCGCTCACTCCTCTTAGGCGCGCACAGCGCCACCGCCTCTCGCGCACTGGCCACCGCAGGGACAGTGACAGCCTTCTTTACAGGCACAGCACTGCTTGTTGCAGCGGCACCATGGCGCAAGCTGCTAAGCAGATCCGCAAGAACAAGGACCTACAGGAGCTCGCAGCTCAAGAGCTGCGAGAGAAGGAGGAGGAGAAGATCAAGAAAAGGAACAGATCGAGAGACCGTAGACGCAAGGTAACAGAAAAAAAACCCCTCCTTCCTCTTTTTTCCGTAACGAGGAGGATACGCACACCTTCACAAATATCACTGACTGATTGTGTTTACCAGTCAGCTAGAGCTGGTCGTTCACAGATTAAGTTTGAGGAAGATGCTGATGTCTGGCGGGGCAGACGGGGGGGGGGGGGCATGACTGAGATGATTGGTTAAGTAGCCCCTCGGTCCTCAGGGGAACATCCTGCTCAATCGATTTAGAAGCGAATGCTGTTTATGACTGATGCTGCATCAAAGCAAACTGATTGCTTTATGTATTCAGATGCAGCCGCCACAGGCTTCATTGTTTGTTGCGTTCCCTCCGCCTGTCATTGGCGCACTACACCACCTCATATCGATGCCGTAAGCGTGAACTTTGGCAGAACGTGAGCATAATGTCTGCACCTGCCTCTGCCACCCATTCTCATTACAGTTTGTATGATGGTATGGGAGCTGTGGTGCATTATGTGAGCACTGCTGCTCTGAGCCCTCTGGCTGCCTATTCTCCTACCTTACCTTCCACCAATGTGCATGCGATGATGTATGGTTGCATGCATGCAGATTTTGGCTTCACACGAGAGCAGGGGGAGCCCAGAAGTACACGTGACTCAGGTTCGAGCCGAAGACAACAAGATCGGCAGAGGCCGGGGTGATGGCTCCGTTCCCGTCTGCTCACCAAGGCTCATAAAACCTGTCAGCTTAGCATTTATCAGCATGCTCGCGTAACTACACAATCGGGCAGAGATATGTGGCCGGCGGTGGTAGAATGTCAGTGTAGCGCCAATTAACAGAAGCGAGTTGGTGACACACAGGCAGTGACACTGAGGGTGAAAAAAAGATACTGGAGTCTAAAGATCACTTTGAAGACTGTCCTTGAGGGTTGGCTGTTTAATCTTCAGTGGGATGTCTGATGGAGCATTTGACAAGGCTGTCAGTGACCCCTTGAGATTGCACAGGGGTCTGGAAAATTTAAGTCGGGACGTGTTTGATGATACTGTTGCTTTTTTGATTTGATTAAAATGGTGCTATGTTTAATAAGCAGTTTAACACTTACTCTCCATATGCAACTCTTGAGCTTTCATAATAGTGTATTTGGGCATAATTGTGTTAAGTCAAAATGCATACTGTTTGTTTCCTTAGGCCTAATAGCATGACGGGACCTTACAGTACAGCTAATGCAAAATGCATATGTTGTATGAGCTTAACTGAAAATTGTGCAGCTTCAGGCGTAAACCAGTCTGTAACCCTGTACATGAGTTCAACCATTGGCACGCAGAAGGGTAAATACTGGCACATAAACAAAAACGGAGAAAGAGAGGAATATAATATGATTAGACTTTTGCTGTTTATTTTAAGAAAAGTTGAAAGCAAGGTCTATAATTAAAAATCAATAAGAGGAAGTAAAGAGTTAGTAAATAAATAAAACATTTCAAGATTGGAGTCAAGAATTATACTCTGGCCCTTGCACATGCAGGTGACATTTGTGATTCAAATAGCTATGTCTTCTAACAGTTTCCATGAAACAGATGTAGTGATAGATCTTTTCTTCTGTATTGTGATGTAAATCTGTGTGTAATGGATTATCGAAAAAGAAAAAAAAATGTAGGGCAGGGACTTGGTTCTATCCATCAGTTATTGATTGAATTTTGTGATTTTTGAGTTGCGATTAAAAATGAATGTGAGCTTGTTGTAGATTGTGGAGGTGCAGGGTTTAAGCGAACTAAATGATTGGAGAACTCCAGCATATGTCACAAGAAGGATGATTGTTTTCATTGGAAAATTGAGTTACGACATTTTGATTAAGCATTATGAGATCAAAACAAAAAATGTAAAAAAAATAAATAAATGAACATACAGTATACATGGAGGAGTCATTCACAATAAGATCTGTAGCATGCATTTACAAAGTAGATTGAATTTTCATTTCATGCAGACTTTCACATTTATCATCACAAAGTGCTTTCCCCCCCTCAGTAGTCAATGTGGTGCAGTGATTGGCATGATAAATTAAAAATGGCACTCAAAGATTCCAGACCCCTGGCACCCTGACAAGTGTCATTGTGTTTCTGAAAACGTGTCAGTTTCGCTGAGGTCTCAAAGCATTTTGGACAGTCTGTGGCCTTGTGAGATTTCAGCTGTTGGTGGACAAACAGTTGTGTTGTGATTTTTACACATCCCTGAGGTGGATGTCCGGAGAAAGTGTGAGACGCAGAGAAACTGGCTGTGTTCCGAATGGATTATTAGCTTTTACTGCATACTGCAAAATAAACTGTATACAAAATACATTTTTTTGTAAAGCTGTATTCTGCAACTTTAAACATATCATATACTACATTATATTGTTGTCACATTACCTTATTATGTGAATGTTTAATTCAGCGAGTTTCATCTGCATATTTCTTTTTTTTTGTTAAATTTAAAATCTAATTTTGTGCAGAAATGTCTTGTTAGAAAAAGTTGCATAAGAAGTTGCAGTGCACAAACTTACTGTTCATTCGTCACACCGGAAATAGAAGTTTAAAGGTGCACTAAACGATTTTTGAAAAACGCTTTTGACCACAGTGTCGGACCGAGTCCCAAAACAAACTCGCAGCCAATCAGCATTAAGGGGCGTGTCTAGTAATGATAGGGAAAAGAGAGCGCTCGGTGAGTGCACAGGACGGATATTAGCAGATCGACTATAGATAGCGAGAGATGGCAGATAAAAAAAAAAAAGAGGAACATTTCAGAGGAATAAACCTTTAAAAAGAAGGGTTACAGTCAGGCAAGAGGTAGGACCCGCGTAAATATTGAAGCAGCTTTCCAGTGGTGGAGAGAACTCAAGGAGTGGAAGGGAATCGGACGCCAAGGTTGCTTTGTTTCTTCTTGATAGGTGAGTTACGTTGATTGCTTTTTCAGACATCTTTTCTGCGTTGGCTTTTGCTTGAATATGCTGCAGGCATAGCAGATTCCGCCATCGTTGCTTCCAGGGTTGTGTACGTACTTGTGGGGCAGAGTTATCAAAATAGGGGCGAGTTCCTGTTGGGGTATGGGCGTGTTTGTTTGGTGCTTTCAAATATCAACATCGTTTGACAAAAATCGCCTTTAAAGGGTTAGTTCACCCAAAAATGAAAATTAGCCTGTGTTTTACTCACCCTCAAAGCATCCTAGGTGTATGTGACTTTCTTCTTTCAGATGAATCCAATCTGAGTTATATTAAAAATTGTCCTGGCCCCTCCAAGCCTTTCAATGGGGGTAAGCGGGTGTTGGTTGTCAACAGTTCAGAAGACGTGAAATAAAGTGCGCGCATCCGTAATAAAACGTCCCTCACACGGCTCTCGGAGGGGTGAATAAAAGCCTCCTGTAGCGAATCCATGTATTTTTGTAAGATAAATATCTATATTTCAAAAGTAATAAACACTTTTTTCTCACTTCCGCTTGACTGTCATACGCGGAAGCCGTTCCGGCGGATGACGTAGGACGTCGACATTGCGTGATTAGCAGAGGTGGGACCAAGTCATTGTGTTGCAAGTCACAAGTAAGTCTCGAGTCTTTGCATCCAAGTCTCGAGTCAAGTCCCGAGTCAAGACAGACAAGTCCCAAGTCAAGTCCCGAGTCAAGACAGGCAAGTCCAAGTCGAGTTGCAAGTCCTCAACTTTAAGATTCAAGTTCTCAGAGGCGCGTGCAGGACGCTTATGTCTTACGTCATCTGCCTGAACGTCTTCTGCGTACCACAGTCAGCGGAAGTGAGAAAAAAGTGTTTATTACGTTTGAAATATGGATAT